TAAATAAAAGCACAACACAGCAATAACAATTCCATTTAACTCTATAGCATATACTCTAACAATATCTATTACATAAATATTCACTTAATACTCTATAGCACGGGTGGGCAACCTTTCAGAAGTGGTGTGCCAAGTCTTCATTTATTCACTCTAATTTAAGGGTCTGTGTGCCTGGAGAGGGCTGTGGCGGAGAAATGCTAGGCTGATTGGGGGAAGCAGCAAGGGGTGGGGCCATGCCCCAATCAGGCCACAGCTGGCCCTATAAGAGGGCTGAGGTCAGAGACTAAAAGACACTCTCTCTAGCTCCCTAGAGAGAGAAGGACCTGGCTGTCTGGGAAGCTGAGGAGGGTACCTAGGGTGGAGAAGTGCTGGGGAAGGGCAGAGGGAGCTGGGGAGCTCCAGCCTAGCAAAGCCCCAGACTGCAGACCGAGTTAAGGGCCCACAAAAGGGTACAAGGGCTGCAGAGGGGCAGCCTAGGACTAGGAAGAGGGTCCAACCCCACCTTGTCCGTCTGCCCCAATGAGCGGGGGGCTAAATGGAGACTGGCAGTAGCCACTGAGGCAAGGTGGGGATAGGGGGTTGGGGGTTCCCCTGGGAGGGGAGACCCAGAATGAGGGGTACTGCGGTGGGCAGAACCCCTGGGCAAAGGGCACCGGGGTCTGGGAAGCACACGGGGCCAGCGGCAGGCGAGACACCGACCTGTATAGGGCACTCTGGGCTGGAAGAGCTAATTCCCAGGACGACCAGCAGGAGGCGCCACACCGGTGAGTCGTTGCCCCGCCACAAGGTCATCTAGTCCAATCCCCTGCTCAAAGCAGGACCAACACCAACTAAATCATCCCAGCCAACACTTTGTCAAGCCGAGCCTTAAAAACCTCTCTGGGTGAAGATTCCACCACCTCACATTCCAGTGCTTCACCACCCTCCCAGTGAAATAGTGTTTCCTGATATCCAACCTAGATCTCCCCCACTGCAACTTGAGACCATTGCTTCTTGTTCTGTCATCTGCCACCACTGAGAGAACAACCTAGCTCCATCCTCTTTGGAACCCCCCTCAGGTAGTTGAAGGCTGCTATCAAATCCCCTCTGACTCTTTTACCTCTCCCCCCCAGCTTAGTGTCACCTGTGAACTTGCTGAGGGTGCCATTAATCCCATCATCCACATCATTAATAAAGATGTTGAACAAAACCGGCCCAAGGACTGCCCCCTGGGGCACTCCACTTGATACTGGCTGCCAACTAGACATCGAGTCGTTGATCACTACTGTTGAGCCCGACAATCTAAGCAGCTTTCTATCCACCTTATAGTCCATTCATCCAATCCATACTTCTTTAACTTGCTGGCAAGAATACTGTGGGAAACCGTATCAAAAGCTTTGCTAAAGTCAAGATATATCACATCCACCTCTTTCCCCATATCTACAGAGCCAGTTATCTCATTATAGAAGGCAATCAGGTTGGTCAGGCATGACTTGCCCTTGGTGAATCCATGTTGACTGTTCCTGGTCACCTTCCTCTCCTCCAAGTGCTTCAAAATGGATTCCTTGAGGACCTGCTCCATGATTTTGCCAGGGACTGAAGTGAGGCTGACCGGACTGTAGTTCCCTGGGTTCTCTTTCTTCCCTTTTTAAAATATGGGCAGTATATTTGCCTTTTTCCAATCGTCCAGGACCTCCACCGATCACTACCAATTTTCAAAGATAATGGTCAGTGGCTCTGCAATTACATCAGTCAACTCCCTCAGCACTCTTGGATGCATTAGATCTGGACCCATGGACTTGTGAATGTCCAGCTTTTCTAAATAGTCCTTAACCTGTTATTTCACCACTGAGGGCTGCTCACCTTTTCCCCATACTGTGTGCCCTGCACAGCAGTCTGGGAGCTGACCTTGTAAGTGAAGACCGAGACAAAAGCATTGAGTACTTCAGCTTTTTCCACATCATCTGTCACTATGTTGCCTCCCCTATTCAGTAAGGGTTCCACACTTTCCCTGACCTTCTTCTTGTTGCTAACATACCTGTAGAAACCCTTCTTGTTACCCTTCACATCCCTTGCTAGCTGCAACTCCAATTGTGCCTTGGCCTTCCTAATTGCACCCTGCATGCTCTAGCAATATTTTTATACTCCTCCCTAGTCATCTGTCCAAATTTCCACTTCCTGTAAGCTTCCTTTTTGAATTTAAGCTCACCAAAGATTTCATTGTTAAACCAAGTTGGTCACCTGCCAAATTTGCTAATCTTTCTGCACAATTTTATTGTAACCTCTCACTTCTAAATAAATATTATTTTTATTTTCGAAGAATTTACTGCTTGCTGCCTATTCTTGATCAGAGGGCTGTATCTGTGTCCTTCAAGGAGAAAGTTAGCTGACCATGGTTAGCGGCTTTTCTCTGGAAAATCCATAGGGCGGGCCACAATCTTTAATACTGGAATAGGCAAACTGAAAATAGAGTTTTAAATTAAAAAGAGAGTTGGGTTCAAATCTTCCGATAACAGTACTATCTCTGAAAAACAGCATTGCCCTACACAAATCCATAAGTATGGTGAGAAAGAGAATGCATGCACCTCTGAAAAACATTTCCTTCCCCAAAATTATTTCACTGCCTGGACAAATCAAAATGGTCAGGTGTATTTCCTGTAGTTTGAAAGGAGAAGTTATGACAAAGTTACAGCATATAAAATAGCAAATGGTATGATGATAGCAATGTAAGTACAAAATCAAAAAGGTTACCAATTATCACACTTCAGGGCATAAACTGATCACCGTGTCGTGGTCAGGAAGAAACTATGGCATAGCACAATTTGGTGTATTATGAGAGGATACGTCTTCCTCAGAAATATTTAGCATTAGCCATAGCAGAGAGATTACAGTACTACAGTAGGTTATTATTTGTACTGTGGTAGCATGTAGGAGCCCCATCAGAGATAAGGAATCCAAATGTGCTAGTCACTGTATAAACATAAAAAAAGAGCATCCTTGCCCCGAATGGTGTGCAATATAATGGAACTACTAGTTTAATTCCAGTATGGCAGTGCACATGTTCACATCACATCCCTGCTTCTCAGATGGTATTGTCAATCTTTTTAAAATTCTGTTAAATTACTTATACCTGTCATACTAAAAATCTCTGACTTGACATACTTTCATATAAAAGTACAATGAAATTGAATTATTTTACCATTAAATAGATTAACCTTTTGAATGTAGTGATTTACAAGATTACATAAAATTTTATCGTTACTCATCTTCACTATACCATTCTCTTTTAGGTTAAAATATTCCCTACAGTAATGTAGGGAAAGTGACAAAAGCATAGTCCAGGGGATATGGTGCAGAAGTTTGAGAATGTGTAGACCCGTGTTCTATTGCTGCTTATGCCACAGATTGGTGAGTTCTTTATCTTGGAGCCAAGTTGATGAAACCATTGATAATTCACATGGACAATACCTATTTTTAAAAAAGATCTAGCATCTGCGTAAGCAAACATAGCAGAAATGATAAATTTTTAAGTGTTTTCTTGGAGGAATAGGTAACCCTTTAGACTATACCACCATACTGTACTATTTGGGGAGACTTTTTGTTATATATCCAATCTGGCAGTACTGTGCTTCCACTCTGTCCATCAGGGATTAGTGGGAATGTAGCGAGAGATTTTTGCCTCTGGCTGACTGAATTACCTTATAAACACCTTAAATAAAAGCTTGCAGAAAAATCTGAGAAGGGGTTTCCAATTTGGCGAAATTATAACTCTTAATTAGACAATTAAAGAGTGGTGATAGTATCAGGACCCTTTGAAATGCATAAAACAGTAATTAATTTTAAGATTAAAGTTTTAATTAAAAAAGAATTAATAGTAGTTTAAAATGAGAAAATCCAGTAATGGCAGATATAGGGATGATGCAATGTAGGTACATTGTTGCATCATTTCCAGATGATGCAATAGAGGTACAGTGTGCATCATTTATGGATGATACACTAGAGATACAGTATTGTATCACTTCTGGTGGGGAATGACTCAGCAGAAAAGCCCTTCCATAGGGATACATAAAAGTTCCTGTCACATGTAGGTACATGTAGAAGTTTGAGAATGTGTAGACCCGTGGTACACGTGTAGGTACACGTGACTGGGTGGGGGCTAGCGGGTGGAGGAAAGAAAATCTGGAAGCTGATTGGCTGAGCCTGGGAGACAAAGCAGTATATAAGGCTGACAGCTAGCGGGCTGACCTTGTAGTGGGATTGGAATCTTGAAGGAGAGCAGAAGCTGTGAGATACCTGCAAGGAAGAAGCCCCACCTGAGACGTAGTGGCAGCAGCAATAGAACTCTACGGAAGAGAACCTACCTGCAAAGGTGCAACAGAAGCAGCAGCAGCAGCAACCATAGAATTCCAAGGTTGCCATGGACAACGGCTGCTCCAGCAACCCAGCCAGCAGGGGGTTTATAAAGACATATTTCAAGGAGATGGACACCCAGATGGCAAACTAAAGTTAGAAATAGACCCCAATGTGAAGCCTGTGAGTCTACCAAAATGTAGAGTTCCATTAGCTTTGGCGGAGCCACTGAAGGAGGAACTGGCAAGCTTGCAAAGAAGAGGCATCATTACACCTGTTGAAACTAGCCCAAAGTGGATCATCAGCCTTGCAGTGATAAGAAAACCTTCAGGTAAACTGAGGATCTCCAGTGAACAGAGCACTGAATAAAAGTCCCTACCCTTTACCAACAACTGGGGACATATAGCCCGATTTTCCAGGGCAGAAGTGTTCACTGTTTGTGATGTCAAGAATGGGATCTAACTTCTGATAGATTGAGCCAGATAAGCCATCCAGCCACTTGACAACCTTTGCTACACCTTTTGGCAGGTACTTCTGGATACAAACAGCCTGACCCCAGAGGTGTTTCGGTGTAAACTGAACCAGGTACTAAAGGACTTCCAGGCATTAAGACTGAGGCTAATGACATTCTTATTGTAGGTGAAGGAGATATCAAGGAAGAGACAATCCAAGGCTATATACCAAGCTGCAACAATGCCTAAACAGGTGCCAGAAGTGGGATATTAGGATGAATGCAGATAAGCTGAAGAGAACTGAACTCTTCAAACCCTGTCCCCTAAATCATACATCTGTTGACCTCCAAGGGATTCCAGTCTGATCCTGAAAAACAGAGCCACTAGGCAAAGCAAAGGATGTGAAGGAAGTCCAGCAATGTGTAGGGATGGCTGTCTTTCCAGATTCTGCTCACATATATCAGAAACCTGTGAACTTTTGAGACTTTTAATATACAATGATGCAGCATGGGAATGGCCAGAGACCCAAGAATAGGCATTTGAAAGAGTAAAGAAAATCATTAATGAGGCACCGGTCCTAAAGTACTATAACTCTGCAGAGCTGCTAGAGCTACAGTGTGATGCCTCAGGAGGAAGAATAGGAGCAGCACTGATGCAAAGCCTGTAGCCCACAGCCTTTGGAAACAGAGCCCTGACAAACACAAAGTGGATATGCTCATAAAGAAAAGAAGCCACTTTCTCGCTGGGCTCTTTGCAGCAGACTGATTCTATCAGTTCATCTTTGGGGATCTTGGGTGCAGTCTGATCAAACTCTGAGACATCATCATAAAGAAGATACTGCTGAGTACAGCCAACTGACTGCAATGCATGTTATTGAGACTCTAGTGCTATGATTGGAGGATAAAGTACTGGTGGCATATAACCTGCCAGAGTATAACACAGATAGCTCTGTGAAACAGGAGACAAGAGTCTATCAACATGCTACCAATACCTTCACATCTTTGATGGGAGGCTCCAGGCAATCCAACAAAGGACCAACCAGGATGAAGTGCTACAGGCAGCAAAATGACAAACTCCGGGGTTGGCCATAACACAAAGAGCAAGTGCCACAGGAAGTTACCCTATACTATCAGGCAAGATACAAACTGTGGGTGCAATACAGAATTTTGTTTAAAGGGTAACAATCCCATCAGATTTAAGACCCAACATGAGACAGATACACACTTCACACCAGGCCTGAGATGAGCCAGTAAGTGTATTATGATGTTGGAAGGTATTAATGGCTGTCATCAATCACAGACCTGTTAAAGCTGATGGGTGTACTGAGCACTCTTTAACCAGGCTAAATGGAAGGAGCAATTAAATGTCCCTTTGTCTAGTGACAGTTAAAACTATACAAGCCCCTGCCCAATGTGCTACCTGGAATAGCAAGGCCTGAACAGAAGCTAAGCCATGTGGGCTGAGGGGTTTACCTGGGAACTGATTGTAAACACCAGGGCTGGGGCCATTGATTGGTTACAGCTTTGTGTGAGACAGAGGGCAACCAGACAGCTAAAAGAAAACCAGCAGACAGGAAGAGAAACAGTGGTGAGCATGTCTCTGTGAGGAAGCCAATTATATGGAGGATTTTTCAGCTGCTTTCTGTATGTTGAAAAGGCTGTTCAGCACTAGGTGCTGTCCAACATCAATGGTGCTGATCTGTCACCATCAACTGAAGCAGAGAAAAGAACGAGATTTGGGCTTATGTAAATTAGCAAAATGGGAGTGGTGACAGTGAAACAATAAGGTGTATATAAGTATGTAATCTGTTTGGTAATTATAATACTTTAAATAATTAATAAAGATAATTTTAAGCAGTCACAGTGGGGGAAACAAAATGGTAACCACAAGGAATCAGAGTGGTGAAAACCAAAATAGTGACCTTAGAATGTTCAGCCAATGACAGGCAGGCAGACTGGGGTGAAACAAAGGTCAGTCAGGTAAAAAACAAGTCTTCAAAAAGGTCCAGTTCTAAAGGTGCAGGTTTTCAATCAGGTCCATATTCTAAAGGGCTCAGTGCTGATTAGTGGGTCAACTGTATATAAGCCAGAGTGCTGACAGCTTTCTAAGTCAGCCTAAAGCAAGCAGAAATTGGCTTGTTTCTGGAATTAATTGGCTTATCATTTCTTTAAGTAGCTTGTTGCTTGTTTTGGGGATTTTACAGGAGGTGGCTGCTGTCTTTTTTTTTTTTTTTTATTCCTGCAGTAGAGCGTGATTGACTCCCGGCCCATTAGCTTAAAAAAAAAAAAAAGAAACAAAGCTTTAATGGTGATTATGCAGGTTACAATCTGCTTAAAAAAGAAAAGAAAGAAAGAAAGACTTTAATGGTGGT